AAAAGGGGGACAGTGAGGCTGCACAGGAGGCGGCACGGGAGGGAACTGACTGATGCATTAGGGACCCGGTGTCCCACTAGACCTCACGGAGGGGCCTGCCTGGCCCCTCAGCCGGCCCAGCTCCCCACGGCAACGTCCGCCTGGCCCCTCAGCCTGAAATATTCCCTGTCTCCTTGCCTGTGAGGCTCAGAGACTCTCCCATTCCCTCCTCGAGTCAGGCTTCCTCCAACGGCCCTCAACTTCCACACCACGCTTCAGTCCCACAGCCCCCTCCAGCCGCGCTCCCCCCCCCAACCCTCTCCAGCCGCGCTCCCCCCCCCAACCCTCTCCAGCCGCGCTCCCCCCCCCAACCCTCTCCAGCCGCGCTCCCCCCCCCAACCCTCTCCAGCCGCGCTCCCCCCCCCAACCCTCTCCAGCCGCGCTCCCCCCCCCAACCCTCTCCAGCCGCGCTCCCCCCCCCAACCCTCTCCAGCCGCGCTCCCCCCCCCAACCCTCTCCAGCCGCATTTCCCCCCATAGCTCCCTCCAGCCACATCCACCCCCCCCAGCTTATACCCCCTTGTCCCTACAGATCCCACTGGGCATGGTTTGTGTTGGGGGGGGTTGTGCAGTATCACAGGGCACTGCCTGCTCTGGCAAGGTGCCAGTGGTGCTCAACGTTCACAACCCTGGGCTGAGAGGCGCTATGTCCGAGCCCCCTCAGCATTACGATCACCCAGCCATTGCCCCTCCCTTCCCGGGGCCGCTATGCGCCTGGCCCCACACACAGATCCTGACCCAGGGCTCAGCCACACGGAGCCAGTGAAAACGCAGAAGCTGCCCCAGCGACCTGGACCGAGACATGCTGATGGGAGCAGGTGCAAAAGAGACCAAACGACTGAACCGTTCCAAACCATCAGGCCTCTGGTTAGCTCCAGGCCTGTGTTACACAAAAGCAGCGTGGGGCAGGAAATCAGAGAACCAAGTATCGGTGCGTCCGCAGCTAGGCCTCACAACTGGTACCTTGCCATCCCTCCCCTTGTAATTAACACGCTTGTTTTATCTAATGCGGCGTCCTCACTCTGAAGTGTCGGGGTAATTATTTCAAATAATAAGCTGGTATTTTATTTCCTTGAACACGGAACAGACCTAAAATATGTGTACTGTCCCGCAGAGGGCTGGGCCACACAGGACATAGTAGCTCCCTACAAACATCTCCAAGACTTCCTCGTTATCCACCTTTTCCTGAAAACTCCCCTTTGCCAGATACTTTCAGAAAACTAGACAACGCCCCCACTGCCCATCATGCCGACGGATACCGACCATCTCATGGTTTCCTCTTAGCTCTGTTTGTACCCCAAGTAAGACGTGAATGGGGAAAGGAAGGAGAAGGGTCGCAATCTACCAATTAGAATTCAGGACCGGCAGCAAACTGGCAGTTGATGTTAAGGCTATTAGGGAAAAATCCCTGGTTGGCAGATCTAAAGACAATGAGCTTTCAAACTCTACTAGTAACAATGAAACCCTAGAACTGGTACGGGCCCATCGCTAGATGGAGATGGGGACATTCTTTATAATGAGGCAGAAAAGTTCAACATACATTGCTCTCTGTTTGAAAAGAAGCAGAACCACCAAAGACTTTCTAGTCCATTAGCAACCGAGGAAGATGTTAGATACAATATATGCAATCCTGCTTTCCGTGCTAAGGACTGGACTAGACGATCTCTTGAGGTCCCTTCCAGTTCTATGATTCTACAAGTCTAGTAAGGCTAAACATCATTAAATTAGCAGGTTTGGATCACTTGAACCCTAGCGTTCTAAAAGAGTTGGCTGAGGAGATTTCTAGCCAGCTGATCTTAATTTTTAATACATTTTGGAGTATCAGAGAAATTCCAGAGACCTAGGAGAGTGAATCAGAATTCTAGGGCTGGAAGAGACTTCAGGAGGTCATCAAGTCCAGACCCCTGCCCGAAGCAGGACCAACCCCAACTCAATCAACTCAGCCAGGGCTTTGTCAAGCCAGGACTTAAAAACTTCTAGAGATGGAGATTCCACCCCTCCCTAGGGAACCCATCCCAGGGCTTCCCCACCAATATCCAACCTAGACCTCCCCCACTGCAACTTGAGACCATTGCTCCTTGTTCTGCCATCTGTCACTACTGAGAACAGCCTTTCTCTGTCCTCTTTGGAACCCCCTTCAGGAAGTGGAAGGCTGCTCTCAAATCCCCCCTCACTCTTCGCTTCTGCAGACTAAAAAAGCTCAAATCCCTCAGCCTCTCCTCATAGGTCATGTGCTCCAGCCCCCGAATCATTTTGGTTGCCCCCCGCTGGACCCTCTCCAATGAACGTAAGAACACTGGTCACGGCCGTGACTCCCACCCAGCCACACCCTCTCCTTCCAGACCCCACGTGTCTCAGGTTTGGTTCAGGATCTGGGCCTGCACTGAGCTCCCAGCATTATGGGCACCCTGCATGTGGCCTCCTGGAGGTTGTGGTCTGTGCCAGGCAGCGCAGGGACACTCTCTGTGCCACAGTGAGTGTCCCTGTCGGGCATTGCCCCCACTCCCTGGAGAATATTGGGGGAGGGAACCAGCATGGCTGCCCGTGTGGGGCAGGGCCCGGGCACTGCCCTGGCTGGAGCTTCCCAGCAGCCCCCTGGGTGCGGTCGACTCACCACTGGTGTCTTCGTGGTTGTGCTGGGGCTGACTGGGCTGCGCGGGGGCCTCACTGTCGGGGGGGCTGGCTCCGCCGTCGAGCTGGCCCACGGGCGGGGGCCACGGCAAGTCTTTGATCACTTTGATCTCAACTGGACGGAGGCAGCAGAGAGAGCGCGTGAGCGGGCTTGGCGCTGTTCCGGCACCCCGAGGAGGGGGGCAGGAAGCAGTGTGGGGCAACCAGGGTTGCGGGTGCCAAGTCCCCATGTGCCCAGCCTCACACGTGGCTTCCAGCTCCTGTTGGCTGCTCCCAGGCTGGCCAAGGCTGCAAATCCGCGCTGCTTAGACACGGGCATGCAGGGCCCTGCCCAGATGGAACCGGGGCCAGGCCCCTGGATGGAGCTGCTGCAGCGTGGGGCCGGGGGCAGCCACTGGGGGGGGCTACCTACCTGAGCGGAGGTCAGCTGGGGGGACAGTCCTCAGCAA